AAACTAAACACACAACTCATCAAATGTGTCACTCCACAGACAATAATTATTGTCTCAACGAGTGTGATAACTGTAGCATAACCGAAACCTGTCATCATGTCACTTTTGGTCCCTATGTAGTTTACTAGTTTTTCCACTTTATTCATTGTAGTTTTAATTTTGTCAATTTAACCCATGTAATTTGATTATACTGTAATTCAAGGACATATCCAAATTCCATCCAAAATACCCCTCCACCTAAGAGACGTGTTTATTCCGTTAAGAAATTACATGGAAATTCAGACGTATCCTTACATTGCAAAAAAGAAGAAGCCGTTGACATAAAAGTTGTTTGTCGGATCAAGAAATATAGCAGTAGTTGAAGTTAATGCCAACCCTTTGTGCAACAGGATTTCATTTCAAGAATGTTCACAAATAATTCGAGCGTTTGAAAATTAGCAATTGAATTTGTTGATTTGAAAATCTTGGACCAAGATTTTCAATAAATATGCCAAATTTTTATGTCGACATTGAAATCACTTATGGACCCCAGCTCTGATTAAAAAATTCTATCTGTTTGACAATTACAACCAACGTCTGGCGCAGGCGTAATTGAAAGTTTCAATAATTGTGGGCTCCCAAGCTGGACAACTTCTCTACAAATAAGAAGAAGAAGGCCCTCAGATTTCAACTGGCAACCCAAAATTAAAGCAATGGCTGTACTTTCACTTTTCAATCAAATGTGGCAGCACCTACAGAGCAATCTTTTCCTGCTTCCTCTTCTCTTCCTTTCAATATTCATATTGTTTGCACTTACAAGATCATCCTCATCAAGTGGGAAAAACCAGAAACTCAAACTGCCACCATCCCCACCAAGGCTGCCTTGGATTGGGAACCTTCACCAGCTAGGATCATTCCCACACCGCTCTCTTCAAGCTCTCTCGAAGAAGTATGGCGATGTTATGCTTCTGCACTTAGGAAAAGTTCCAACGCTGATTGTTTCATCTGCAGAGATGGCCAAGGACGTGATGAAGACCCAAGACATTGTGTTCTGCAGCCGGCCTCAAACCACGGCTCCAAGTATATTGTTCTACGACGGCCATGACATTGCGTTTGCTCCTTATGGGGAGTACTGGAGACAAGTTCGAAGAATTTGTGTTCTTGAGCTTCTGAGTCTCAAAAGAGTGCACCAGTTTCAGTACGCAAGGATGGAGGAAGTTGCAGAGTTGGTCAGCAAGATTCGCATAGCCTCCGCCAGCGCAAACGGGGCTCCCATTAATCTTGGGGAGCTGCTGGTGTCAACCTCCAACAACATTATCTGCAGGTGCATTCTTGGACAGAAGTTTGAGGACAAAGAAGACAATTGGTTTGGAGAGACCACAAAGGAGTTGATGACTCAGGTGATGAGTTTCAGCTTTGGAGATTTCTTCCCTTCTTTGAAATGGATTGACCGTGCCAGAGGCTACCTTGCATATTTGAAATCCATTTGGTTAGAATTTGATAAATTTTTCGATAAGTTGATTGACGAACATAAAGCAGCACAGAAAGAAGGTAAGCCTCGTAAGAAGGATATTGTGGATATTCTACTCGAGGTTCAAAAGGAAGGCTCGCTCGACTTTGAGCTCACTACCTCCAATGTCAAAGCAATTCTGCAGGTATGTATATCCCCCCTTCTCCCCTCCCCCCCACCCCTAGCTTTAGTCACATTGATAAATAAATAAATAAATAAATAAATATATATATATATATATATATATATATGGGTGAAGATTGATTTGGCTTGTTGATTTTATGATTTTAGGACATGTTTGTGGGTGGAAGTGATACTAGTTGGACAGCAGCGATATGGTTAATGTCAGAGCTTTTGCAAAATCCACGGGTGATGAAGAAAGTCCAAGAAGAGGTAAGAAGAGTGGCGGGGAGAAGGGGATATGTAGAGGAGAGTGACATCAAGGAAATGAAATACATGACATGTGTGATCAAAGAAAATTTAAGACTTCACCCTCCAGCGCCTCTTTTACTTCCTCGGGAAGCAATGTCAGATGTAAAATTGGGAGGTTACGATATACCTGCGAAAACACAAGTGTTTGTGAATGCGTACGCCATACAAAGAGACCCCAAAGTATGGGACAAGCCAGATGAGTTTATGCCAGAGAGGTTCGAGGAGAACTCCGTTGGTTTCGTAGGTCAGGAGTTTGAGCTCATCCCATTTGGCGCTGGGAGAAGGGTGTGTCCTGGACTCGCCTTTGGGGTTGCTTCAGCTGAATATGTGCTTGCCAACATCCTGTTTTGGTTCGACTGGAAGTTGCCTAGTGGTGGCAGTAAATTGGCCGAGACCTTGGACATGTCCGAAGTTTACGGTCTCACAGTCCATAAGAAAACTCCTCTGTATCTTATTCCAACACCATACTCCCCTTAATCCCTCCATCATCATCCATGGCCTCTTTATTTTATTTATGCTCTAAATCTAGTTCTTTTTCGTTTTCTGTTGAGCAAGAAGTTGTCTGCAATGCCTGCAGCAACATAAATAACATGGTGGTATGCCATCAAGAGTGTTTAGTCTTCCTTTTTCTCTCCAAAGTTAGGCAACGTAGTGTTGCATTCATAACAATAATGATGATAGTAATGAGATTTCCCTTCTCAGCTTGTCCTCATGCATGGAAAATCAGATTTTTCTCTCTATTTGGCTATGTGAAAAAGCATTGAATTGTAGTTTCTCCTTAAGATCTCAAGATAAAATGGATATGGGAAATGAAAGGAGAGATAAACGAGTACCAATTTGACCACAAAAATATGAGTAATGCTACTTTTACCACATTTGTATACCACATTCTTATACCACCTTATGTAGCAGATAAAGTGGACAACTACATCAATTAAAAAGCGTCAATAAATCGTAAAGAATAATGCTACTCTTACCACATTTGTATACCACATTCTCATACCACCTTATGTGGCAGATGAGGTGGACAACACATCAATTAAAATTAATTTAAAGTTTTCTTATCTTTTATGATTTATTGACACTTTTTAATTGATGTGATTGTCCACTTCATCTGCCACATAAGGTGGTATGAAAATGTGAGATATAAATGTGGTAAGAGTAGCATCATTCCAAAAATATAAAAGATAGTACCAATAATAGCCACACCTAACTAGAGACCTGATTGATTGGTATAATGGCCTGCCTAGTACTTTCAAAATAATTTGGTATCAGTTGTACATGGAAGAACCAAATTATCAGTTGTGCATATTAGAACCATGTGTATACACTGGAGGACCTACAGGGGCGCAAGGAGATGCAACTACATCTCTTCTAGCAGGAAAAAGCTTTGGTGGTGCCAGAAGTTGCCCTTCTACAGGTGCCTACTAACTGTTTGTAAAAATGCATCAAAGAGGCTAACTTCTTTGCTTTGGTGCGCAGCCTACGCAGCGCGTTTATATATTTGTACCAGGTAAAAAAAAACAACGTCGTTTATATCTTGGCCAAAACAAAGTCATTTTGGACTAGGTAAAAAATAAATAAATAAAAAGAAAAAGACGCATTGGAAAAGGAAACCTAATACAAAGAAGAAGCGTTACCTCAGCGTCCAATCCAAAGTTTGCGCTGTGTTCAAAAGCCATAGCACAACTTCGCGTTGAAGAAGGAAAGTCCAACCCGCTTTGATATTGATAACTCGATACCTCTCATCCCTCCCAGCAAGCCTTAACCTTAAGGTCTGGTTCTGATTTTATTTTTTTTTAATTCTTCAGCAACCGATTCTTTCTTTTATTTTTTTCTGTCTTATTTGGTATTGTTTGGTTTTTTATATTTATAATATGTTATGTTTTTATATTTTTATATTTTCTGATTGGCTCTGTGTATTCTTGCATGATCAACAGCATACTCGAGTAGGAAGAGGGTGCATAGCCCACGACTTGAGCTATGTTTAATTATGATTTGTTTATTTAATTGATAATTTGATATGTATTTTGATTAGATTGTTTCATATTGATTTTCATTACCATAATGGATGATTTGATATGAATTTGGTCAATTAATTGTGTAATTGACATGAATTTTTTATTTTATATTAATTGATATACTATTTAGATTATAATCAATTAGTAATAGACTTAAGACCCTTTTTATTTATTTATATTAATTGATATACCATATAGATTATAATCGATTAGTAATAGACTTAAGACCCTTTTTATTTATTTATATTAATTGATATACCATATAGATTATAATCGAACTAATAGACTTGACCCTTTTCAGTGGTTGTCTAAATTTTTTTTTTACCTTCGAGCCTTTTAAATATTGCACCTCCTTTAAAAAATTCATGAATTCACCATTTAAATATTGCACCTCCTCTAAAAAATTCATGAATTCACCTTCTAAATATTGCACCTTCTTTAAAAAATTCATGTATTCACCTTCTGAATTCGCCACTATATATGAATAATGCTACTCTTACCACATTTGTATACCGTATCTTTATACTATCTTATGTGGCAGTTGAGGTGGACATCCACATCAATTAAAATTATTTCATATTTTCTTTTCTTTTATGAGTTATTCTAGTATTTGTTTTTCTAATTGCCTTAATTAAAATACACTTCATTGATTTAATTGATGTGGCATATGATATGAACATGCCACATAATGTGATATAGAAATGTGGTAAGTGTAGCATTACTCACTATATATATAGCAGAGCTTGCAGAATTACTACTCCCGGAGAACCGTTTCATTCGTTCAGGTAAAATTTAACAAAGAACAAGGCGGCAGTAAAGTAATGTCAGAAGACATTTGTTCATTATTTCATACTGTCAGTTCTGTACATTAATCATAGGCAGGTAGCGTTGCACAAACTGGGAGAGCGCAACGGGTGGGCCGCTCACGGTTAACAAATAATCATCAGTACATTCGGATATATCTACATGAGTGGGATGTTATTAACACCCCCTCTCAGGATTTCAAGCCACCACATTGTACACTTCACTCAGCAGCAGGCACAAACATAATACTAAACTCATCTTCTAAGATTGTCCTTCGTGAAAAATGAATGTCTGAGGGCTTCCCGAGCTGAAAGCCTATCTGATGGGTCGTACCTAAGGAGACCCTGCAAGAGGTGAATGAGGTCCCCTGCGGAATGGTCTACATGCTGCATTACAAGATTCTGGAAATAGAAAAAAGAGCAACAAGTTAAACATTAAAGTACAAAAATGAAATTAAATGGCTCTAAAAGTCCACCAAGTATGTAACACAAACCTGAAGACGAGGAAGTTTCTGAACAGCTCTGATACTCTCTCGCGAGGCTGCACCCTCTGGCCAATCCAATCTACCCCTCCTGACATACTTCTCAGCATGTCGGCTGTAAATTTCCACGAGCAAGATTAAGTAAGAACATTTATCAACTTCATGCTTCCAAACAGAAATTACAGAGAATGATAGAATGATATCACTTACTCTGCTCTCTTCAACATGTGCTGGGGCAAGGGCCCAAGTACCCGCTCCATCATGGCAAGGTGCTCCAAATTTTCATGAGTCTGGAACAAAGCCTCACCCTGTTGCAAGATGAACAAGCAGCATAAGTATGGCTTGTATTACTTAAAACATACTGATAATCAAAAGCATATAGTCAGTAGACAAACCGTGCATAACTCCACTAAGATACAACCAATGCTCCATACATCACAAGGGTAGGTCCATCCCATTCCTGCACCATCCTCATAAATATTAAGCCTACTTACAGGTATACAGCACAAAGACGTCATTACAAATAGAATTCACACTTACCAAGAATAACCTCAGGAGCCCGGTAATGTCGTGTTGATACAATATAATTTTGATCTTGACGTTCATAAGTTGTGCTTCCAAAATCAATAACCTTAATAGCACTTGACTTTGGAATTCTTTTAAAATATGAGCTATCTTTGGGTGATCGAGATGAGTTCTGCAGTTAGCAAATTGATAGAACGTCAGAGCAAAAAGGGGAAAGATCTAACCTTAAGATACAATAAAACAACAGGAAAAGAAGGTAATAAAGGAAATGGGTAAGCACCTTATTATAATCAGGAACTTTAATATAATCGTGAGAAACAAGGAGTATATTCTCTGGCTTCAAGTCGGTATGAATCAGGCGAAGGTCATGCATGACTGCATATAAATGGGAATATCATCAGAAAGCAGGACCACAAAGAAAAACAAAACCAATTAACTTATAATTATGACCATTTACAAGAAAAAAATAGAAAATATATCAGCACCCATTGTGAGTTTTTTTAATGAAATAAGAAGGAACAAAAGAGATTTATTACTCTAAACAATATAGGAGGTAATTTCATTGCAGTGAACTGGCAAAAGAAAAGCAGACAAGCAATATATAGTGATTGAAAGAGACTAGCTTAGGTTTTACTACACACATGCTACACATTCCAACAGTTGTCGGCCAATCTCACGGACAAGGTCAATGGGAAATGAGCGGTAATTGTTTTTCTTGAGAAAATCGTATAAGCTTGGTCCAAGCTTCTCAAACACCTGTTGAAACCATTTAAATTCACGCACAAGTTTTAACCCCCGAGTTATTGTGAATTGGGGAAATCAATCCATCACAAATTAATCTCATACTTACAATACAAATATGGTTACGATAGTCAAACCAGTTCCGTAATTGCACACAACTGCAAGGAATGAACCCATTTAACATTGCTAAAAGTTCAGGAAAAAACTTCTTCAAGCACTCCATTGAAGTAAAAAACTTGAAAAATTAGGAACAACTACTCACCGGTTGCCACCTTTGTCATGTTTACCAAGCTGTTGCAGCACTTCAATTTCGATCATTGCTGCTTCACGGTATTTCTTGACTCCCCGAACAATTTTTATGGCAACCATCTCCTTTTTTTCTCTGTCCCAACATTCCAAAACCTGACCGAAGGTACCTTCACCCATTTTGCTCTGGATTTTGTCTGCATGAAGTGAGACCAATAATTAAAGCCCACAACTAGGTTGTAATGTTAACAAAAAAGAGTCCATAGAATTTAGTGAAAAACTTGCACACACTGGATATCAATTGAAACATCAGAAGTTAAAAGATCAAATAAACCAGAAAAAATTGCACCAGAATATAAAAAGAAAGAAAATTATGTGTTGATTGTGTAATTACAGCGAGATGTTAAATTTTCTCCGAGCGAAAACATGTAATGCCCATCTTTGTCATCCTCTCTCCATGGGGGGGAACCATTTCGAGCCACTTCCTTATCAAAAAGTGAAATAGTAGTGTGGTCTGATGGTGCCATCAAAGATGCAAAGCTTGTCACATTCCCAAGCTCTTGTCCACAAAACATTCCTACCTGAGCCTACACACAGCCATCCATTCAAGCACCACCCAACAAATTAAGTCAAATTCTGCCATCCCCAATACCGTACCCCCAGCCATACCCCTTGGGTTACGTCAGAATCTCATAAATCATAACCAAAACCTAATAAATTACCAGAAACAAGAAAGAGCAAATTCTACACACAGAGATGCATTAAAGTACACATAAGTGAAGTAAACCTAAACATCAACAACAAAGGTATCACCAAACATTACAAACAACAATATTACAACTATAAACATCCCTCTCGGGAAGCTTTCAAATAAAAAGTTAAAATATTACAGCATTAAAATAATGAATAAATCGAGCTAGTTGTACGTAAATTAATCATTCAAACGAGATAGAACAAAAGGGCTACTGGGAACTGGATAGTTTTCTTGGCAATTCCAGATAACAACCTTACCGTTCTGATCAATCATTCAAAGTTTTTTTTTCATGTATATTCAATAAACATATCCATGCTGCGATCTGAAAGGTTGAGATTCTAAAAATCTTCCAATAAATTTAGAAACTTTAATTTCAGATCTGGATGCATAAAATAAAGATAATGCTTAATCACCGACTGTAATAGCATCAACCACAAAAATCGAGCGATCCCTGAACAGTGCCAAACAAAAACCACCACAAAATTGAATCATAAAATTTTCGGGACAAAGATAATACCTTTGGGGCCTGAGGAATATCCCAGCCCAATCGCGCTCTCTTTCGAGGGCGACGATCCAAGTGAGTGAATGGAAACTCCGTCACGCGCTCAGTCTCCATGGCCGCAGATCGAGAAATCGAAGATTGCTAGAAAGAAAGTAAAAAAAATTTGACGAGAACGAGAAGGAAAAAGGGGATCGGCGAGATGAAAAATAGGGGAAGAAAGGTTGTGTTGTGTGAGAGATCGGCCAATGCGAACCCTAATTTTAACCTAACAAGGATGCGTAAGACGATTCAGCCGACATCTAACCGCACACGTGTCGCGTTCCTGTCCGTGTGTTTGACCGATCATTGTTATCCAGCTAATCAATGCTTTTCTTTTACTATGGTCAGAATTTGGGTTGGGATTTAACCGTGGTTGAGTTAGCTTTATTTTACAGCGAAATATATACCCACGAAAAGAAATTATAGTCCAACGAGGAAAAGACGTCAAAGTTGGGCCTATCCAGTCTTGTTCTTCTTTGAATTGTGGGCTAAAAGTCCAATTAAGATAAGCCAGATTTGCCCCAGTGTTTATTCCTCTCTAAGTAGAGTCAAAATAGTCATTAATAATTATGGTTAATTTCAATTTAGTACCTGAATTCTCACTCTTAAGGAATGTTTGTCCATGCACTCTTAATTTTAACACTCATGTACCCTAATCTTTTTTAATTTTTTGCAATATGGTTTTGATGTTAACGTCACAGTCAAAATTTATGTTAATTGCCTACGTGGCAGGCATGTATTCCTCCTATTAGCTTTTTTCAATGTCAATTGAAGTGTATTTTTTCGGCACTTGGTGTCTTCCCACTCGAACTTGTAGAAAATGTGCCATACTTTCTTAATAACAGTACTAGCATAAGACAACAATATCCTGAAAATACCCTTCAATTAACATCAAAAGAAGCAAATAGGTGGAAACCATACCTGCCATGTAAGTAATTAACGTAAATTTTGACGGTGAAGTGACGCTGGAACTAGATTGCAAAAAATAAAAAAAATTAAGGTACATGATTGTTAAAATTGAGAGTGTAGAAGCAAACAAACCTTAGAGGTAAGAATTCTTGGTATTAAATTGAAATTAACCCTAATAATCAATATGAATATAGAAAATGGTTAAGCCAACAACCTTTAATTTGCAATGCAAAATTGTCAACTCAAAAATGATTTTTTATTGGGAAAAAGAGCAATGCTTGTATATTAATTAATAAAATAAAATCTTTGGTTAGCATTATATCAGTATTTTCATTTCAACAGAATAAGACCTAATGAGTATAATATTTTCCTTTCGAAAAGGCTGGTAACTTTCCTATTGATAGAGTTACTATAAAGGCTCTCATATTGTTAAGTCTCTATGTTTGTGGCATATATAGCACATTATATATACACACAACGCTTGAGAGCGCTAACCGGTTAGAAAGTTAATTTTGACTATAAATATCACTTTTGTAGGACATGTTTGTAGCTGGCACCGATAGCTTGTCTACGCTGCTAGAGTGGGCAATGACTGAGCTTTTGAGGCATCCCAAGGTCATGAGTAAGTTGCAGAGCGAGGTATGAGGAATCGTCAAACACGAAACAGACCTAATTACAGAGGATAATATGGTCGGCATGCACTACCATTGAAGACACATGATGTACATTATAGTACCAAGATTGTCCTATAAGATCTCTGTTAATTACTCTTAAAAAAGAAAATATGAAAACTACCCTTTGAATAATGCTTGCTTGAACTCCGGTTGAGTATGATTGAACTTGTTTCAAGTAATGCTTAGTGTTGGAAACCGCTTCTTTCAATTTTAGTTAAAATTTTAAGGAAGGGTTCAGAGTAACTACTTTAAAAAAATTTGAAAGCGAGAGTGCTTGCAAATTGGGAGACCGTTTATAATAAAATCGTGTAAGGCCCCAAAATCCACCCTCTCTCCTTACTGTCATACTGGGAAAGGTCAGAGAGAGGAAAGGTCATACTGGGAACCCTCTCTCCTTACTGTCAATAGATTAAAAAAAAAACATAAGAGAAAGAAAGGTTTAGAAAGAAGTTAGAAACATCCATATATGAGGCTATGATTAACATTACCGAAAATGTAACAAGACAAATCAACATTTGATATTGAGTTCTTAGGTATTGAGCAACCAGTAGCTATGTTGCACCTATTTGTAATTGCCCTTCCCTAACTCATCTTCACAATCTTCCTAATCAAAAGGCTTACCGATACACCAAAACACAAAAACCTGCCTCCTTCACCACCAAGTCTACTAATACTTGGAAACCTCCACCAACTAGGCACTTACCCTCTTCGATCCCTACAACGACTAGCTCAGCACTATGGTGAACTCATGGTGCTTCGTTTTGGTATGCAACCAGTGCTCGTAGATCAACCATTGCCGATAAACTTATGTATGAAGCTAAGAGTGTAAGAGAAGAAGAACTGGCCTTGCTGACTGAGAAAGTGAAACAGTCTTCTCGGCTCTCATTGCCTGTGAATTTGAGTGAGTTGTCTGCTTCACTAACTAATGATGTGATTTAGGGTGGCTAAGTATAGTGGAGATGAAGGTGCGAGGAAATTTAAGAAGTTTCTTGGGAAGTTTATGATCTTGGTGGGTGGTTTTTATGTAGGGGATTTTATTCCATGGCTTGGTTGGGTTAGTCAAATTAATGGTTTAGATGCAAGAGTGGAGAAAGTTGCTAAGGAGTTTGATGAGTTTCTGGATTCTGTAGTTGATGAGCATATGTGTACCCCTAACATGAAAGGAGAGAGCTGTGGTGATAATATGAGTGTTGAAGGTGAAGATTGGAAGGATCTTGTGCATGTTCTGCTTGAAATTCAAAAGCAAAAGAACGCTGGCTTCCATTGATAGGGATAGCATCAAAGGTATCATTTTGGTTAGTCTCTTCTCTGTCTCCACAACTAAAGCAAGAAAGCTCAATATCTTTATGTGCCTAAGATACCTACATCAGAATATATAAAATCTTATACTTCTCCATCCGTTGCTAATTGATTTCGGGGGTGAAATAAGATCTTTCTTGGTTTATGCAGGATATTTTTGGTGGGCAATGACTGAACTCTTAAGGCATCCGAGAGTCTTGAAAAAACTGCAAGATGAGGTGATGGGAATTGCTAATGGCAAAGCAGACATAACTGAAGGCGATTTAGATAAATTTCCATACTTAAAAGCAGTGATAAAAGAGACACTTCGGTTGTATCCTCCAATACCGTTACTGGTTCCTCACGAATCAACTCAAGAGGCTAAAATAAAGGGTTATGACATAGCAGCAAGAACCATGGTGCTTGGACAATTGGAAGAGACCCCTCAATGTGGGATGACCAGAGGAGTTTAAACCAGAGAGGTTTTTGAACTCTTCTGTAGATTTCAAAGGGCATGACTTCCAATTAATCCCATTTGAAGCTGGAAGAAGGGGCTGTCCAGGATCTTTGTTTGCCATGATCACTAATGAGATTGTGTTACTCGTGCACAAGTTTGACTGGACATTGCCTGGTGGAGCAAGAGAATGTACTGGCCTTGTCATCCATAGAAAAGCTCCTCTTGTAGCTACGGCAGCGCCAAGGTTTTCGGAGAATTCCTGCTTTCCCATTTTATGATTGTGAAGGCCTTTCTGTTGTGTCACCTCAAAGTTTCATAACAGAAGCCCAGAGGAAAGCATAAGATCATGAAATACTGAGTCATGCTTAGCCTATATAAAATGATTCTTTATATTGTTCCTTGATAAAAATAAAAAATAAATAAAAAATCTAGGAATTTAGACTGTCATCCATAGATAAGATGTGTATTTCCCATTAAACTTGGATGTTAGATTTTATAGTCTTTTGGATCTACACGAAAACAAATTTCTACCTTGAATTTTTCTATGCACAAGATAGAAACTTAAATGAGGCACGGAACTCTTTTAAGTCAAAAGCCGAACACAGTATGCTTTCCGAAAGCATCTAAATTTTTTTGTTGTCTTCTGTTAATGCAGCTTTCCTTTCCTAGCACACACGGAAGTCAACTTCACAATCTCCTCCTAGCAATTAGCTTTTCCTACTGTAAATCGGGTTGTATTCATGTCTATATTATTTCCTACCTTAAGTAGATTTCTTGTATCAGTATAAATAGGGACTTGGTGTAATCTGTTTAATACAAGGAAATATATTCTTTACATGTATCAACCTTACCTATGTTTCCTCCCTCTCCCTTATTCGATCCAATCCTCTTCTTTAGGTCCACCTCATGGCTTTATTTGAATCCACCATCTCCCTCCCTAGCCCCAACTCTTCTCATTTTATCAAGCTTACTGACTCCAATTACCTCATTTGGCTCCACTCTGCGACACTTCTTCAGCGTCAGCTCAGCTATTGCTCCAAACTTATTCCCGACGCCCTCGCATACACCTCTCTCCCGCTCCTGCCCTTGTTCCTCGCATGCGCACCCGCCTTTAGGATGGCATTCAAAAGCCCAAGCTTCATACCAACAACACTGTTAAATACCCATTTTCCCGTGCCTTATTAATTGTTGTTAATCATACTAAACCCATTTGTTTTTCACAGGCTACTAAGCATCCTGAATGGCATGACGCCATGACTAAAGAGGTCAATGCACTTCTCAAAAATCATACATGGTCTTTGGTTCCTTCCTCTCCTTCTCAGAACTTGGTTGGGTGCAAGTGGGTTTTTCAGATTAAAAGTCATTCTGACGACTCCATTGAACGCTTTAAAGCCCGTCTAGTTGCCACCATTTGCATTGTTCTCAGTCTTGCAGTTTCTCGTGATTGGTCCCTTTGTCAACTTGATAATACCTTTATCCATCGGTTTCTTCAAGAAGATGTCTACATGGCTCAACTCCCTAGTTTCATTGATCCCACTCGTCCTTCTCATGTTTGCAACCTCCATAAAGCATTCTATGGCCTCAAACAAGCACCTCGTGCTTGGCTCTATCGCATTAGTACTTTCCTTCTCTTTATGGGCTTTATACGGAGCCAAGCTTACACTTCATTATTTATTTTTCAACAGGTCTCCCATACTATCTTTCTTCTTCTATATGTCGACGACATCATGGTAACTGGCAATGATTCCACTCATCTCTAACAATTCATCTCTCTTTTAGGTGGCCACTTTGACACCAAAGACCTTGGTTCGCTAAGCTATTTCTTAGGTTTACAGGTTTTTCATAAGGATGACACTTTCCACATTAATCGACTCAAATATGCACATGATCTTTTACAGAAAACCAATCTTCTCAACTCCAAACCCACATCTACCCCATTGGTTGCCTAGGTTCTCCTCTATGTCTCTAATGGTGCTCTAATCTCCAACCCAACCGAGTATTGCAAGCTTGTTGGTAGTTTACAGTATCTCACTCTTACTCGTCCTGACATATCTTTTGTCGTCAACATTGTTGCTCAGTTCATAAGTGCCCCTCGCACCTCTCACCTTGTTGCTCCAAACGGATACTAAGGTATATCAAGGGCACTATTGATCTCGGCCTCACCTTTACTCCTCAAACTGCTACAGCTCACCTCTTCCCCTACTCTGATGCAAACTGGGCTGGGTGCCTTGATTCTCGTTGGTCAACCACTGGATATGTGATTACTCTTGGAACTAACCTCATCTCATAGTGTTCCAAGAAACAATTCATAGTCTCGCGCTCTAGTACAGAATCGAAATTTCGTGCCCTCTCTCATGCTTGTGCCGAAACCACTTGGCTCCATTCCTTTCTTCATGAATTGGGTGTATGTCTTTGGTTTCCGGTCCAACTCTTTTGTGACAATCTCAGCACCACGTACATGGCTGCCAATCCAGTTTTCCATGCCCGCACATGTCACATTGAGTTAGACTATCACTTTGTCCGTAAAAAGGTTGCTCTTGGAAGTCATCAAGTTTGCTTTGTTCCTTCTGTTGACCAACCTACGGACCTGTTTACCAAAGCCCTTCACAAACCACGCCATCAACATATGTCTTCCAAACTTATGCATCATGTGACGCCCAGTTTGCAGGGGGTGTTAACGCAGCTTTCCTTTCCTAGCACACACAGAAGTCAACTTCACAACCTCCTTCTAGTAATTAGCTTTTCCTGCTGTAAATCGGATTGTATTCATGTCTATATTATTTCCTACCTTAAGTAGATTTTCTGTATCAGTATAAATAGGGACTTTGTGTAATCTGTTTAATACAAGGAAATATATTATTTACATCTTCTGCTCAAGTGGATGAATTCGTGTGGAATAACTCATCCCTAGAAGAAAGAAGAAAGAAGAAAGAAGAAGGAAGAAAGAAGACGATAACAAATTTAAACAAACAAACTCGTCCATAAACATTTATATGGCTCCAAGTTGGCCGACACATGGCTCTCCTATTACAAATGGACCATCAGAATGCTCACACGCAAAGTTGTGAGGCGGTGGTTTCAACTTTTAAATACATTGGATGGTCCTATCCTCTTGTTGTTTTGTTTTCTTATGGAACCACGGATGGTTCTGTTCTGCGTGGTAGGATGATCTTTGCCTTTATAAAAAACACACACAACACTTTCTTTTCTTAGCACTAACCCTGAAGATGCTAAATACCATGCAAGTATTGCAAGAGCTAAATGAAAGCTCCTCCTTTTTGCAACCTTTGTCCTTCACACTGCTGGCCATTTTCCTCATCTTCCTATACACGTGGTACTCTTCCACTAAAACCGCCACCCAAAAATCATCACCACCAACTTCTCCACCAAAGCTACCTATCATTGGAAACCTTCACCAGATAGGCTCGTACCCTCATCGCTCCCTTCAAGTCTTGTCCCAACGCCATGGCCCTCTCATGCTTCTTCACTTTGGAAGTGTCCCGGTGCTTCTTGTGTCTTCAGCTGAGGCAGCCCGGGAGATCTTGAAAACTCATGACCTCGCGTTTTCTGGTCGACCCAAGTCCACCATCTTTGAGAAGCTTCTCTACAACTACAAAGATGTCGCAAGCGCGCCGTATGGTGAGTATTGGAGGCAGGTGAGAAGTATATGTGTGTCAAATCTTTTGAGCAACACAAGGGTTCGGTCTTTTCGTTCTGTGAGGGAAGAGGAAACCAAATCCATGATCAGATACATAAATGATTCATCATCATCATCATCGTCTGTTTTGAATTTAAGCGAAATGTTTGTGAGGCTTACTAATGATGTGATGTGTAGAGTTGCTTTAGGGAGGAAGTACAATGATGGGGAAGGTGGGGAAAGTGGGAGGATGTTTAAGAAGCTTTTAGGGGAGCTCAATGACTTACTGGGAACTGTTAATTTTGGGGACTATATCCCATGGCTTTCTTGGTTGAGCCATATCAATGGTTTGGGAGCCAAGTTAGACAAGGTGGCTAAGCAGTTGGATGACTTTATAGATACAGCGGTTCAAGAGCATATGAACCATAGTTCAAAGAGTGGAGATGATGACCAAAAGGATTTTTTGGACATTTTGCTTGCAATTCAGAAAGAAAACTTGGCTGGCATTCCTATTGATAGAGTTAGTATAAAGGGTATCATCTTGGTAACTATAACTCTCTCTCTCTCTCTCTCTCTCTCTCTATATATATATATATATATATGCATGTGTGTGTGTTTTTGTGAAAGAGATGTAACATATAGTAGTATATATATTTATATATTTTGCAAAAGGTTAAATATCTTAATCCAATCAATTGTTTTTAGGACATGTTTGCTGCTGGCACTGATACCACATATACTGCCTTAGAGTGGGCAATGACTGAGCTTTTAAGGCATCCAAGGGTCATGAACAAATTGCAGAATGAGGTAAGAGGAATAGTTGGAAACAAAACAGACGTAATTACAGAGGATGATTTGGTTGAAATGCACTACTTGAAGGCAGTGACGAAGGAGACTCTTCGCTTACATCCACCACTTCCACTACTATTTCCCAGGATGTCAACCCGAGACGTGGAAGTAAATGGCTACAACATTAAAGCCAACACACAAGTTTTCATCAACGCATGGAAAATTGGAAGAGATCCCAAGCTGTATGACAACCCAGAGGAGTATGAGCCAGAAAGGTTCTTGAATAGTGGTATAGATTACAAAGGGAATGACTTTCAATTGATTCCATTTGGAGCTGGTAGGAGGGTCTGCCCAGGACTTCAGTTTGCCATGGCTATTAATGAAATTGCCTTAGCAAACATCGTGCACAAGTTCGACTGGGCATTGCCCGGTGAAGCAAGTGGGGAGGATTTAGACATGACAGAATCCATTGGCTTAACCTCACATAGAAAATATCCTCTGAAAGCTGTTGCTTTTCCACACTCAAGTTGAGGGATAGAGAGGACATTTTCATATACGCACATGAACTGGTCTTCATATTATATGTGTCAAGGCTCTAAGCCTGCTATCGTGTATGTCTATGGCTTCAGCTGTCAGTACTGTTGCCAAGATACCATAGCACAATAAGAACTGTCAAAATATTATGTGTCAATGTTTTCTCACCATATACACATTTTCAAGTTTCTTAAATTGGTCTGTTTGGAATATTTTGAGTTTTTGGAAATTCAAAATCAGGGTAGTTTCTGAATTTTTAACCATGGTGGTGTGTGGTGAAAAACTCAAATTCAAGTATACATGATTGATGAGATGGGGAAAAGTCAGTTGATTTATCTCGTGGGATTAAATTAAAGTGGGAAACATAATTGAAACAAGACTAGTATTAGATTACTCTCACAAAGAAAGTCAAAAAGAGAGGAGCTTTATCTCGTGGGATTAAATTAAAGTGGGAAATATAATTGAAACAAGACTAGTATTAGATTACTCTCACAAAGAAAGTCAAAAAGAGAGGAGGTAAAAGACAAAAGAAGAAGAAAATGCCCCATGGTGATCTTATCTAACTGTGATCTTATCTTGCATTACCAATGAGGTTTTTCTAAAACATATTTTCTTTCTATATTCATTTTAGAAGGTTGGATGTGTGAAACACATAAGATCATGAAATTCGAGTTTTGTTCATCCAAACAAAAATAAAGATCCGTGCAAGTTCCATATTCTTGTGTAAGTTCAATTTGCCACAGATGTTACTGAGATTGCTTTAGCAAATATAGTACATAAGTTCGATTGGAAATTGCCCGGTGGAGGGGTAATAATATTATTCATAGGTGAGTCTTCTCCATGGTCTTATTATTTATTTGTGATGTTGTAATTAATTAGCTTACTTTTTGACCGAGTAGCCTTGGTGCCCAAGTCTTGTAAAGCCTATAAATAAGCTAATGTAATAATTGTAGGGAAGTTTTTTATGATTAATAAAATAGTTTATTTGTGGCATGGATTTGCTATGATATATGTGAGTTTGCACAAACTCTAGAATTCGGTGCTCGTGTGTGTTGTTGGTGACCTATGTTTGGACTCCGATCCCCATCATTGACGATATGCTCTATTATTGATGGTGGGTTTGCCATATTAGTTTCAAGCCTGAAATCCTCACCATTTGGCATTTTCTTCCTCCTCATCCTCAAATTAGCAATTGCTTCATCTTCACTAGAAGAGCTACATGTGCTTCCAAGTGTAGGTGAGTCTTCTCCATGGTCTGACTCATCATCATCTTCCTCTACATTAAGATTGTTGAGGCCCAAAAAATCCATGGATTGGGCCCGAACAATTATCAGCCCAATACAATATTCCATAAGGGAAAAGAAAAAAGGGATCTATCGCATGCAAGTTATAATCCACACGCCACGCTAAATAAACAAATTATCATGTTATGATAAAATATAATCATGCTAAAAAATTAAAACAATCCTTCAAAAGGGCGATAAAGTAAAATATGCCGAGCAACACGCCGTGCCATTATCTCGCACCCAACCACGCTACAAGCCTAAGTGGGCCCAAGCCACTCAAAAAGACCCGGGGCTTGCTTGAGTGGGTTGTGGCATGGATGGTAATAAATCAACATGAGGCCCATTGATGGACCAAGAAATGGAAAGTCTCGGGTTGCTTGGGAGCCTCAAGACTCAAGCCCATTTCTTAGGTCCAAACATGTGGGTAAGCACAAGAGAGAAAAATAGCCCAAAAACCCAAGCAAAATAACCTAGCCAAGAGATAACCCAACCAAAAATAATAATAAGCCCAAATCAAGCCCAATAAGCCCATTTGCTTAGAAAGCCATCTTGGCCCTTAGAAAAACCCAAAAAAGGCCCACAAGAACTTCAGCCTTTTTTGAAAAACAGAGAACACGTGAAGTAGATGGCAGGCTCCTTAAGTAAGCTGCTGGAAACCAGTCCCAAGCCAGAGACATCCAAAGAACCGATGAATACCATCCTGCATGCTGTCAGAAGCATCCCTTGGACCAGCATACATTTGCACCACCTTTCCTTCATCAGATTCAGCCAAGGAAGAGGAAAGAAAAGGAAGAAAAACAGCAAACTAAGAGTGGAAGCCCTCATTGCACAGCCGCGGGAAAGAGGGATGTTGAGCCCCCAAATCTCCCAAATTCATGAAGATAGACAGAAGCCATCTTTGCCAAGAAAGGGAAGTCAGAGAAGGGGAGGAGAAAGGAAGAAAATCTCAGCCAAAGTAAGAAGGAGCCATTAGGGTTTCTTGAAAAATGGTGATTTCCGGCAGCTATAAATTGAGCCTTCCCCTACCCAACAAACACAACTCAC